CCCCCCCCCCCTAAAAAAGGGTGAAGTGCCTAATTCAACTATTTAACCCTTTCGCTGCCAAGGCCACCTTCTGCATTTTTTGCATGCTATAATCCACATTTTAGGCATGAACATTACTTAAAACCCCAAAACATATTTTCTGAAAGCAAAGACCCTGTATAATAAAATGGTGGCAGTTGCAAATTTTTACGTTGCACATTAGAGAAACTCTTTATCAAACCCAAAAACATGTATTGAAAAATGCACTTAATTTTAGTGCCCCAAAAACACAATATAATAAGGACCCCAAATTGTCCATAGGCAGCGCTTTAAAAGCCCATAGAGGACAACATTGCACCGGCCCCTGGAAGCGATCTGGCAGAGGCTTAGCCGCCAGAATCACTTCCAGTGTAAAGCCGATAGTCGGCTTTACACATGTAAACAGAGTCCTGGTGGTCTGCTTAAAAGGGGCCAGCTGCCAGCGATATATGAGATACGGTGGCAGCGAAAGGGTTAATACACACCTGTCAACAGAAAAAGGTCACTTAGTCTCAACTTATAATAGGGTCAATACACAATTTTTTTTTTTTTTTAAATAAAAATAAAGTAATTCTTTCTTCGAGACCTATTGACTTTCTACAGGTGTGTTTCATTCGGTGCCAGAAACAAACGAAACCACATGAATCAAAAAGAGCTGGATACTTACTTTATTCTTCAGAAAGTTCATCCATACTTTCTCAAACATCCTCTTATGTTCCTAAACAAAAGAAAAAGATAAATGAAAGTTACTACATTAGATCACTGATGCAGAGTAGTGGCGTGCTTTACAAAAGGAGAAAGATCTATAATCTTGTCGACTTGCCTTTAATTTTGCTGGCTTCCAGTCCTCACATTTCTCTGATTAAGAAACAGGAAAGAAGGAATGTCATCATTTTAAAATCAGAGACTTAACAATGCTCAGAGAATGTGTCAAATGACAGATTGCAAAGTAATCATACAATATACAATCAATCCCATGGTTTAAAGCCCTACTCAAGATAATGCTTAGATGGATTGGGGAAGGCTTAGAACCCTCTGATAAAGGTTTTTTTTATGGCTGTGTCTACCTTCCTGTTATTGTGACCCTTTAACCATGAAGGATATAAAGTAAAGGGAGATCTCCCCAACAGAGTTCACAGACGTCCTTAGGGCACATAACGTATACCATATCATTGTAATAAAGTGTACTTTTAGTCATAACTTTAGTTGTGGAGTAGGAAAAAGTTAAAACCCCTTCCAGGCTATTTTGTTGTGGTCTTTGTACCACACAGGAAATTACTCTTCACTTCCTATGTCAGAGACACAACAGGAAGTTAGAGGAAATCTCCCAAAGCAAGAATTTCCCTCTTAGACAGTTTCCATTAAATGATTTCCCCTCACTTTGTTTCAGTGACAATGGTCACCAGTACAAATAAAGGAGTGACTCTGGTCAATGGGGACACAGACAGAAAGAAGGTCAAACCCTTTACACTCTATCCAAATCTAAAGCAAGATTTGCCTAAAAATACACTTTAATGTTTTGGGGTTTATTTTTATAAGACGCAGAGATCAAGGTTACAATTACTGTATTACATACAAAAGCGGAAAAAATTGGTAGAGTTGTGAATTTTACCCATTTGAGGGTACCCAGCATTTATTTTTACTTAGCAAATTGCTAATTGGGCTTTTAACAAATGAAGTCCTTCTGGACTCATTTTTACATATTCAGACATGTTCCATTTTACTTTAATAATATAATGGATATGTAAGCCACACTTAAAAAAAACAGAAGTGACACTAAAATGTCTTCTCTCTCACCTTTCTGTACTACCAGGAAATTTGATAATTCATTATCTACAGGCATATTAATGGATGAGAGCAGGCCAAAGACATTGTTCTGGAATGCAGCAGTGAGGGGCTGTAAGTTGAGAAACAAGAAGAAATGTACCAGCCATGAGACTCAAATCAGAATTTATACAAAGAGGTCAGAAGAGAGAGAACTTCCTACATATCAAGTTGAAGAGATTAAATCAAATCAGGTCTTACTTCTTTGGTATTCTTATGAACTTGTGCAATGTTTTCATTAATCCAAGACATGGTGTAATATCGGACATCATCATATTCCAGATATTCTTGAAATCTTGTTATTAAAGTGGACAAATCTTTGTCTTCTGGTAGTAAGCCAGCCACAACCAACTGAAAAAAGAAGGTAAGAATAGGACTACAGATGGGAAAATGTGTAATAAAGCATTATCCAATTAGACTTGGACCCGGAGCAAAACCCACAGAATGGACTAAAACTTCCTTCTTCTGACTTCAGCAGAATTTACACAATTCCCTTAGCTTCCTTGTGTATTGTTGTTAGATTAGTTAAAGCTCAGCTGAATTTGAGGTAAAAATTGCACCAATATGTGCAGGATACACGGTAGAGAAACCACTGCTTCCACAAAGGGGGATCATGCCAGCTGGGGACAAGCATTTCTACTCTGGCTGGGACTGCTTTAGAAAGATTTTAAAAAAGGGGGTAATGGATACACCTCATTTTGCTGCATCTTGCAGCAAAATGTGTTTCTTTATGCTTTACTAACAAAACTTTGTTGCCATTAACAAAGTTTACCAGTATTAACCATCACACTTTTGCTTTATAGGGTTTTTGTTTTGCCTTTCTCTGGATCAACAGTGGGTAACTGTGGGTATAACATTCTGTTTTAGGTTTTTCTTATCTCTATAGGTTGAACTCGATGGACTTGTGTCTTTTTCAACCTGGCTATGTAACTCTGACACTGGATACTTGATTGCAAAGTAGATTTGGCAATGTATTATGGCATAGGTGGCAAATCCTTAGCAAGCCCATATGCTGCCCATCTTGTCTTTTTAAAGGCCTGGTTTTCCATGACTATAGTGAGAAAAGTGCTCAACTTTCAGCTTGGCCAGTGATCGCGCACCAATAACCTCTCTATGGTTACCATTATGCCTGCTCATTTACACTCCATGGTATGGGTTCTCTCACCTCTAAGGTTTCTCCCATAAATCTGTAAGAAGGGCAATGTGAATCTAAAAAGGTGGTCACCACAGGATACGAACCCAAGAAACTCTGCAAGAACACTTCTCAGTACTTGCTGAACAGTTACTTACACCTTGTGCCACATAATCAATGTTACGCTGAAACAGCGCACAGGCTACAAATCTGGCAAATTGACAACATCTCATTACAAATCTAACGTTAACATCCAGTATTTATTATGGAATAACAAATAAAAAACATGAAACACTAAAGAAGATGATTTCCTGAGTTAAATACATCTAACAAATGGGTATACATTGATTCCAAAAGCTGACGCTGAACTTACTTTTAACAGTGGATGTGGGAATCGGTAACCATCTTTCCATTTGGCAGCCTCCAAAGGGAATTTCCCTTCTAGCACAATAAACTTCATAAGCATGCACAATGCCAGTTCCTGAGGAAGAAAAGAACATGTCAGAAGAAACCTTAGAGACATTATACGAGTACATTTTCCAGGAGAACCTAGGCTGTGTTAGATACTGATTTGCCTGAACTGATTGGCAATAGTGGACCGTTTCTCACCAAAGTCTTCAAAACACTGGCAATTTGTAAGGTCTAGGGCTGCAACTAATCATTTTTATAATCGATTAGTTGGACGATTATTTTTTTCCATTATTTGGATACAGAAAAAAGTTTAAATAAATAACATCCTTAATTTAAAATAAACAAATGTAGTGTTATAAGCATGATGTTAACTTCAGAATAAAAAATTGTATGCACAATTTTTTGCAATTGCACTGTACTGGAACAAACAGCATTGCGGTAGCCGGCATTCCATTGAGGTCAGGAGGCGTGTCTGGGGTGCCATTGAAATAAATGGCACTGCAACGCACCTCCCGCAGCAGAATTTGTCAGGCCGAAACCAAAAATGACTTTCCCCACTTTTTATAATTTTTTAAAAATAATTGTATTGTAAGCACATGGCGCTTGAATAGCTACAGCCAGGGAATGACAGCTGCCAGTGGCAAGATTCCACAGATGGCAGCTGAATGTAAATACAGCAGGTAGTGTGCTGCTGCAATAGCCAGCCTGCTGCCATTTCAAATTGCAATAGCCAATAGCAGGATGGCTACTGCACCCACCCACTGCTTGCTGTGCACTCCTCCCAGCATGGAGGAGAGAGCTAAGGGATGCAACCAACTAATCGATAATGAGAATAGTTGACAACTATTCTCATTATCGATTAGTTGGTTGCAGCCCTAGTAAGGTCCTTTTCAACATATCTACATGGTAGGATACGCAATATGACAACTTATATAAATGCAGAAAATCTGCAGATTAATAAGTATACATGCATCAACATACAAAAACCATCGCCTCTGGCTGCAGTGTAATTTAATAGATGCTTACAAAGCAGAAAACAACTCAGTTAACATGTTGAGCTGACATGCACTTAATGTGCAAGTCCAGCCAGAATAGAACCCCTCCTGGGCTTTTACTGCTAACAAGGAGAGAGAGAGAGAGAAAAAATATTCACAGCATTGCTAAAATATCATTCAATAGCAACTCACGCATGGGAAAGAGTAAATAAATTCCATAGAGCAAGCAATTAAATAACAGCTTGGCTAACAAAAGCATGAGATACCAATTTTAATTACTGCTTGCGATAATTGGGTGGCTTTTGATCTCAGGAGGTCAGCAGCTGAGGATGCCATTATTACAAAATAAAAATTTCAAACCTGCCAAAAAGTCTCCCTGTGAACGGGCTTGATGCTTCAGTGGTGCGCGTGCACTTTTACAGTTAGGCAAGAATTGCAGCGGGTCCCTGCCCACCAACAGCTTGCTCAAGGACAGTCAGACATCTCTGCACTGGTCTCAAGAGGATATCTGCCTGTGTATGGCCACCTTAAAGTTATTCTGACCTGAAGCTGGAAAGAATTGTGATGTAGTAGGTCCACCAAACAGGACACGCAGCTTTTGTAGCGGTGCCTCATCCATATCTTGTACTTCTGCTCTGCACCCATGGAATCTGCTCACAAAAAACAGGGACATTAATGATTATTTACCAAAATTACATTATTCCAAAAAAAAAAAACATTTTGGCTAGATTTGGGCTTTAAGACCAACTTAACATCAACAGGAACAATTCTTGTAAATGTGACTGAGAAAAACGACCAAGAACTCAGAGGTCATCTGGAGGCTGCAGGAAGTACTTCAGGAACCTGCCGTGAGTCTCACTGTTGCCAGCAATTTGATACCCATCATTATGGCATTATATGGGTGGTGTTAAAATTAGTATATCCCACATTGAAAACATTTAGCCAGTTGTGTTTTGGTTTTCATTGGTAGATAAACGTAGTGTTCACAAAAGTGAAGGGTACACATCTACTTTGTAAGATCTCCCTACCTGGAAGATGTTCATCTTCAGATGGAAGGTCCCCAACATAAAGCTCTCCTTTCTCCAGCAAAGACTCAAAAAGTTTAGAACAAGTTCGGATTGCCGCTTGAACATCGCCATCATTTTCTGACTAAAAGAAGCATAAACAAAGCATATATATTTATTACAAAATGGAAATAGAGTAAAAAGGTCAGTCCAGATGTGCCAGTCCTTGGAAGATCACAAATGCTACTCCCAGCAGATCTCTGCAATGCAAACACAATGAAAAGGGCCAACTGAAAGTCATTAGATTGTCCACTAGAGTAATTGCTCCAGTATAAGATTTGCTATTTTATAGGGAACATTTAGAAATAGGGATGTTCCGATATCAGTGCTGATACTTGGCACTTTCTCGAGAACTACCAGAGTTGCAGCTGTGACTGGGCCCTGGCACTCCACCACTGCTCTAAAATCATTAGTCTGTATTGTTTTAGAAAAACTGTCACATGACAATAAACAAAAATAGTGATGCACCGATGTTTTTTTGGTATCGAGTACTATTCATTTTTTTTTCCGGTACTCACCGATATCGAATCTGGAAGTCCCATTAAGAAAGCCAGGCAGCGTGTAATGACTCGCCACCTGGCTTCCTGATTAGCAGGGAAGCCGCCTCCATGCTCCCTCATCACCAGGTGACGAGAAAGCAAGGAGCCGGCTTTGTGGCCAATCAGGAAGCTGGGCAATGACGCGTTGTCCGTCTTCCAGGTTGGTTGAGAAGCTGGCCAATCAGAAAGTCAGGCAACGCGTCATTACACGCCCCCCGGCTTCCCGATTGGCCGGGAAGCCGGCTCCATGCTCAGTCGTCACTAGGTGATGATGGAGCATGAAGCCGGCTTTCTGGCCAATCAGAAAGCTGGGGGGACCTGTAATGACATGCTGCCCGGCAAGCCAGCTCCATGCTCCCTCATCACAAGTGACAAAGGAGCCGGCTTCCCGGCCAATCAGGAAGCCGGGCCGCGTGTAATGACTCGCTGCCCGGCTTCCTGATACCAGAAGCTCAAGTATTGGGCCAGGCATCAGAGCATTTGGGCAAAAACGAGTACTCGCTCAAATACTCGGCGTCGGCACTGATACTAGTATCGGTGCATCCCTAAACAAAAATGTTTTAATAAAAAAAATACATTTATAAAGAAAAAAAAAAATCATACATTAAAACAGGGATCCAGAAAACCGTAGCCAATGCTCCTTACAAATGACAGCTGCCTCCTAACTTTTATGTTTTTCTCTAGTCGTGGAGCTCAAAGTATCTGTACTTGTACTTGGTATTTGAACATTCCCATTTTGAAATGTTAACTGTGACTGAACAGTACCCTGGAAATTGGTTGGGGGGGGCTGTACCATACCTTACAAGTTTTAAATGTGGGACCACTTTACATTTCTTGGACATGACTGAATGTTTGAAGTGCCCACTGCCGCAGTTCACTGTACTTCAAAAACACATAACTAGGCAACTATGGTAAGCGTTGAAGCTTATCAAAACCCAAAACTGTAATATCTGGTTCCATTTTGTCTGTTGAAGATACCATCAAAAAGTGTTTTATTATAGAAGTTTAATAATAAGTGAAAAAACTACTTCCTGTGCTCTCTGCCTGCTGACTGTTATCAGTGACATTGTTCTCACCTATCTCAGAGCTACAGAACCACACTGCTCTAAGTTATAGGAGAGGGGTTGGGATCCATAGTCCTACTTTGTTTCTTTTACCCTGATACAGTGCAGTGAGTGTGCGTTGTCACCCTAGGACATGAAGTGGCAGGATCACCAGGTGAAAATAAAGGAGAAAAAGCCCAAAGAAAACCAATGCAACCAGCACATCTAATGACCGGTAAGCTGCAATATATCATTTGTTGTTCTTGGGTTTACATACGTCTTAATAGGACTCTTTGTAACTAGCCTGTGTGCGGCACAACCACGCAATCAGCTGAGAAGTCTGTAGTGGTCGCCATTCGCGTATAAGCATTTTTAAAACTCTTGCACGCTTTTACATGCGGTTTTTTGGTCTTGAGCAGCCTTGTTTTAGCCAATGGAAAGCTGGTTTACTAGGAGGTGGAGACAGTTGTCAGGACAGAAAATCACTTGAAAAACATACGTTTTTCAGGCCCTCCCACTGAAGTCTATGGGGCCGCAAACGCACGTTTTTCCAAAAACAAAAAAAATAAAACTTGCGTACTTTTTCAAGCTTCAAGAGACACCAACTTCAGGTGTGAACAGGAACCACTAACAATAATGGGATTTAGGGCTGCAACAACTAATCGACATAATCGATTTTGAAAATAATCATTAGCTGCAGCTCTAATGGGATTCTTCATGTCCAGCATTGTCAGACTTCAGGACCCCCCCCCCAACAAAATGCTCAGGAGTGAATGACTTACACACCGTTCACATCTAGATGTACTGGGAATGGACATCGAATTCATGTACTTTTTTCCTGCTTTTGCTGATTTCAATGGGTGCCACACCAAACAAAAGGATTCTGCTACAGGCGTCCCACGTTTTTTAACACACATGGAAAAATGTACATTTTCCCGACCGAGTTTGGGGCACTATTCGCCTGTAATGGCACCGCAAGCATGTTGCACATTTTTAATGCATTCCATGAACACATGTCATGTCGGTTTCTCCCCACATTTGGCACACGTTCACAGAACACCTAGGTATGAACAGGGACTTAGTTATGTCTGCTGTTAATTTAGAGTCTATAGTGGGAAGTTATAGAAATCTGGAGCAGTTCTGCATGGCAATCAATCAGCTTCTCTCTTCTGGTTGTTCAGTGAAGATTTGAAAATGAAAGAGAGAAGCTGGTTGGCTGCCATGCACAACTGCTACAGATTTTGATCAATTCCCTTCACTGTGGGGCTAGGTGCACTTTAAATAATGTCCTATAATGGTAAACACACACTGCCAGTCAGCAGCAGCAGCACGTGTTATGTTATACATCACCTCTAAATATTCCAAGATATCGAACACGGAATTAGCATTGGCCCGGCTCTGCAGCACCTCCCCGAGCTTCGAGTTCAGCTCCTTCCGCACCGATTCTCCGTCAGCTCCCCGAGTCCTCTTAGCACGCTTGCCTAAGCGCGCTGCCATTTTCCAGTCTGCTCACGTGTGAGGAAGAGAAGCCGGAAAGAACAGCTAGCGCGCATGCGCGGCCATCAGAACCATCTCCTTCGCCATCTAGTGGTGGAAGTAGAGGTTGCAGTGTTTCCTTTTCTTGCACTCGCTGTACTGGGAGCAGAGGTGTCCTTCAATTTTCATTATTATTGGACTAAGTGTAACAAATAAAAATGATTTCAACATACTAGAGATTCCTAATTACATTGTTGGTAAGCTTGAAGAAAGACAGGTCCATTCAGTTCAACCCATGAGTGTGTGCAAGTGTGATTATTATTCTCTAAGTCAGCAGCGTGTGACGTCATTAGGCGTGTGCGTTACATCATCATCATGCACGCACGTAATGCAGGGACCCCAACCTGAAAAAAGTAATTTCAAGAAGGTGCCCTCTGTTCCCCCCTTCCCATTTCAGGGTGGGTGGGGATGGGAAAGAGAGCACCCCCCCTGAAATGATGGCAGATAGCAAAGAAGCTATTGTTTCCCTTGCTATCTGCTGTTTTTTTTGTATTCTGACAGCTGCTGCCCTCAGGAAAAAAACCCATGGGAATGAATAGCCAGATTGCTATTGGCTATTTCAATTTGCAATAGCAAGCTGGCTATTGCACCTGCCCACTGCTGCTGTCAATCAGCAGATGAGGACCTGATGGAGTACTTCTGGTCCACCTCTGCTGATTGACAGCAGCAGTGGCCGGGTGCAATAGCTAGTCTACTATTGGCTATTGCAAATCAAAATAGCCAATAGGAGCCTAACTATTCATTCCTCTGCTGTTGTTTTTTAGTTTTTTTTTCTCTGACAGCGGCCCCGATGTAAAAATTAAAAAAAGAAAAAAACAGATAGCAGGGAATGGTTTACTCTGCTAGATCGAGCAGAGCAAACCTTTCCAGGAGAAAATGTTTCTCTCCCGGGTGTCCGGGAGCCGCTATACTATATCAGAAGATTCCCGGGAGAGTTGAGATGTCTGTGTAATGACTTCACGCTCAGGACCGAATTTACTCTCTGCTGCCCCAAGGCCAGGTGTTTTGTATATGTATGAAAAAGATATGTATATTTTTTATTTTAAATATTATTTTGTACTTAATTTAAAAAAAAAAATGTAATCAATTTTTATTTTTTTACACCTAACTTTCACACAAGATCTAACAAACCCCTATGTGATAGCATTTGGAGGTGACAGGTTCCCTTTATTGAACCTGTGACCTCCAATACAGGAGTTCTAGCAGAGCACTGTGGTGGAACTCCTGTGACGGCTGAGAGGGGAAGGCTGCGAGTGCAGCTCTCCACTCTCGCTGTATACACAGAGCAGAGGGCAGAACGGACATTCTGAAGAGAGGATCTCCAGCCAGTGGGGAAGGATGGACCTGCAGGCTGCATACAAGTGATCTTGGCGACATCGCTGACATCACTTGAAAACGAACAAGCGGCTTCCCGGCTGTATATATAGCTCTGCTTGCCCAAAGCAGAGCTAAATGTAGAAAACAACTTAGCACCCGGCACCCAGAACTACATGTCCCAGGCATCAGGCGATAGGAATCCCTGCCACCTCTCTGCTCCCTGCCACCCAAGGACGTGCCTTGGTTGGCCTTGTGGGAAAACCGGCCCTGTTCACGCTCACCTAACTGCCGGGGGCCATCTTGGTGATGAACGCCAGCAGAGAGAGGAGGGGACGTTCACCAGGCAGGATAGGGTATGACCGAGTGCCCGAATTTTCAGAGAGGGGGTGACACCAAAATGACTGCAAATCGTTTTGGTGTCACCCGGTGCGGGCCACAACCCTTGCACCCTCCTTGTGATGCCACTGCGCCACGTATTTCCATAGCCCTGATTGGAACATCTAAAAATGTTTTTTTTTTAAGATATGGACACTCTTGGCCAGTACCACTTCTTGGGGGAGGGAGTTCCACATTTTCACTGCTCTAACAGTAAAGAACCCCTTCTCAATCTAAGGTTAAACCTCCTTTCTACAAACCTCAGTTTATGGCCACTTGTCTTAAAGTAATCAGTTTTTACTGCTTCTATAGTTACCTTTAATACATTTGTACATTGGAATCATATTCCCTCTTACATGTCTTCTCTAGAGTGAACAAGTGTAGTCCTTCCTCCAACCTCCTCAATAATTGGGTTGCCCTTTTCTGAACTCTTTCTTGTTCAAGGAAATCTTTCCTGAGGATTGGTGACCAAAACTGAACTGTATATTCAAGATGAGTCTGAACTCAGAAGAACTGTAGAAAAATTAACCCGCACTGCAAGGGTTAAGTGTTCGTTTTTATAGGGGACACAGAAAAAGCAGATACAATGACCTGATCCTCAGTCCTGTGGCAGTCGGCACTCACATCTCTCCCCATCCACACTGGCTGTGGACTGTCCCTCAGTGTCCTCACATTTAATGCAAGTGAATGGAATTGCATAGGACCTCCTGAAGTCAGCGGTCCTTAAGAGGCTGCAACAGGGGCGCACTGACCATTCGGATTGACACTGCCGTCGTCGCTTTAGCACAGCTGCATCTACTAGTTTGGCAGCGGCGCGGCCAAAAAGAGCACAGAAATGGCGGGGACGGGAGATGTCATGCTGAGTGCGGGGTGTATAGCCCGAGGGCTGGCCTACCGCCGGTGTGGCTGTACAAAGGCCCCGCTGAGAGATCCGCTCCCTGTTTCCCAGGCCCCCCACTGGGGGAATGGTGCCTGCTGAGGCCAACTGCATCTGCCACTGGTGAAACACTCCACATCTTCCCCTGGTGAGACAATCCGTATCTGCCACTGGTGAAACCCACCACCAGCGGTGTATTTACCTTAGCTGCTGCCCTAGGCAAGGCAGCAACGCCGCCCTCAGCGAATCTGCCGCTCCAGGCAAGCGCCTTGTTTGCCTCGCGGCAGATACACCCCTGCCCACCACACCTGCCCCTGCTGAGGCCAACTGCATCTGCCCCTGCTGAAACCATCCACACATGCCACTGGTGAGACTCTCCTCATCTGCCTTGCTGAGACCATCCACATCTGACCTGGTGGGACCCTCAACACCTGCTGCACCCACCTGCTGAAGGTGAGCACTCACCCGCATGCTGACATGGAAGGAGCTGCCCATTAATGCGTGTGTGCGGGTAATGTCCCACAGGGGTCAGAATGTGTGTGATGGCTGGACCCGGAAATGTTGTTGTGTATGCGTCATTCTAACTGCCCAGTCTGCTGTGTCTTGGTTCTGGTCTGAGGTCCGCTGTGCATTCTGCCATTTAGCCCACTTTCCAAATTGCTTATATTGGTGTAGATTTTGGAAGTCTCCTACCAATTCCCCGGAAATTCATCTTTTAGTGAATTGGCCCACTATTTTGAAAATAGTGTAAAAAAATAATTTCTGTAACACAAGAATGTTTATGCAGGTGGCTTGTGGGTGGGGCTTGTATACGGGCGGAGCACAAGGGGGCCCCATAATCTTGTATTACCCGGGGGCCCCATGTGTTGTCAGTCCTCCCCTCGGCTGCGGGGATCAGCCTAGCAGTCCGGAGGGAGCAAACATCAGGTGAGTATATCTGCTTTATTTGACCCCCTCCACTAGACAAAATGAACACTTAACCCTTGCAGTGCAAAGGTAGCCCCACTAGAGGGTTACGTTTTTTTGGAGTTCTTCTTTAGTTCATGAGAGTATTCTGCTAGTTTTGTGAGCTGCAGATTGGCATTACATGCTATTGCTGAGTCTGTGATCTACAAGGACCCCTAAATCCTTTTCCATCACTGATTCTCCCAGAGTAGACCCTACTACTGTGTTGCTGGAATATTTTTACATATTTTTGCATTACCTTACATTTCTCAATATTGAATCTCATCTGCCATGTAGCTGCCCATCCCCCTATTTTATCTAGGTCTTCCTGTAACAATGATGCAGCTTGTGACAAATGTATTTCCCTGCATCATTTGGTATCATCAGCAAACACAGGAAACAGAATTCTTTAAAACTGAACTCCAGTTATAAATATATATACTTACATTGGTGCAGCTTGGCACAATCTAAGTATAATACATATTTTCCATCTGGCAGGGCCACAGAGATCCTGTAAAACACGGTAGTAGCCGCAGCTACAACAATCTTCCTGGTACTGTAAAATTGCTGTGCTGAGCCTGCCCCTCTGCTGTTAAAACAGAGTCACTTGGTCATTATTGCAGCCATTCAGCACACTCCTGGTATTTTTTATTAATGAATATCTTGGCGTTCTCTGATTGGATGAGGGACAATGCAGTGACATCGCCACCCCTCGTCCTATCAGAGAACACCTAGTATTCATTGATAAAAAATGTAGTTGTTCAGTGAATGTCATTGTGCCCCTTTTGGAAAATGTATATACCCATTGCAGTGACAACTCTAAAATTTCCCGTAACGCTTTGTCTAGTTTTCTAGTAAAAATGGACACCAGGATAATTAGAGAGTTCGTCCCCACGGGGGATAGGGGGTCTAACCCTTCTCCACTATTTTTAAAACCAAAACAAAATAGCTTTAGATATGTTTTAAAGTCCAAATCTGTGTTCCCCCTCACCCCCTGGAAGCTCCTGCACTGTATTTTTTGGTTACTTACCTTTTCCAGATACCTTCACACGTGCAGTCTTTTCCTCTTTGGATCTTTCCCCGGTGCTGGTCATCATTCAACCTGGACATCTACCATTACATGTGTTTTTCGAAATAAACGGTATATGTGGAAATTATTCTCATTTTAATGATACTGTCACACATGTGGAATCCCAGGAGCTGGACACCGTCTGTGTTATGGCTTGGACAGTGGCATCAGAGAACAGTATAGGAATCTGAATCTGGAAAGAAGATCTTATTGGCCAGATACATCAGAGAGCTTAGAGAAGTTACCAGCAGTAGACTTAGACGCCCCTAGGATGAAGAATCTATGGGGCACATGGCTATCAGCATTGCTACTGGTTACTGGTGGTAACAGAAAGGTAACCTACAAGTTGCAGAACTCACAAGTAACTGCGGGTCACCACTCTGGTAACAGACAACATCTTAGATTCT